CATATTATTTTTAAAAAATATGAAAAAAATAAAAAATATTTTAATTTATACTTTAAAAATAAGATATTTTAATTTTTTAATAGATATTTATTAAAATGACGTAGTTTTGAAATGATATATCTCTTAATTTTTAAGAGGTAAGACAAATAAGTATTATTTTTTAAAAATTAATTTATAAACAATAACATTTTGACATCTAGATTAATTATTTAAAAAGATAATATAAAATGATAAAATAATAATTTTTTTTTATTTTGATTGTACATTAAGAGACAATTATTTTTCATCCCTTATCTTATCTCACCTACATATTATGCGACTCAAACTTAAGATATCTTACTTTTAGCGAAAGAAAATTACCACTAAACTACTTATGTCATTGATAATAAAATAATAGTTAGATTGTGATTTTAACAAAATTAGGTGTGACAATATTATTGATTCAAATTTAATATTAAATTTTTTAATACTAATTTTTTAGTATTTAAAAATAATATTAAATTATAGCTAATTTAGAATTGAATTAAATCAAGTCTTATAAGAAGTAAAATTCTTCATATGTTTATTTTTCTATTTATAAAATTTAAATTTAAAATTTTATTTAAAGTAAATTAAACTCTTTTCACTTACGCTAACAAATTGTTGGTATTTAATACCAAATTTAATTTAAAAAGTTCATGCGAACTTCTTTAGAGATGTTATTGTCAAATGTTATCCTAAAATCAATTTGTATAACCATGTTAGTTTGAAATTACAATATGTAAAATAAATCCAGATAATTGGAACAGTTAGACAAGGCCTACCATGGACCGTCATCAAGTGTAGAAATTTCTTGACACTTTCTAAAACTAAATATGTTCCATAGATGTTCTATCCCAACTTAGGAAAATTCAGTTCCACAAAAGAACAAGAGCAATTAAAACGAGAACAGGTAGCTTTAATTCCTTGGCCAATTAAACATTTGTGATGCCAGAAATGTTAAACGAGCAAGTAACCCCCTGCCACTGGGAGATCCATTTTCCATTAGTTCAATGTTCGAACCTCGCCAGAACTCTCTTCCCGTTCCCGTTTCCATTCCCCCTTATCATCCCCTCTTCTGTCTCCCATTTACCGTCTTTGAAAAAAAAAAAAAAAAGGAGGAGGAAAAAAATTAAAATATATTGAAAATAAAATCTGGAAACTTAAAACTGCAACAGGCAGTTTAAGTTTCCAAAAAAAGAAACTCTATGTCTCTACTCAACAACAGATTAGCTTAGGTGTTATTTTTTTTTTTTTGAACAATGAAAAATTTATTCTGAGAAAGAGGAAAGAGGAAAATGGATTTGAGATTAGAATCCATGTCTTAATAATTTTAAACATATCCTACAAAAAAAGGTCAGTAGATCGTTAAGTGTTGGACGATTAGCTTAGGTGTTATTAAAAAAATTTTAATTTAAAGTTAAGATTAATGTTTGTTTGATACTTTTGATACAATAAATAATAAATTATTTAATAAAAAATAATTTTTTTCTTTATTTTTTCCCACTCACTTCGGAGTATAAATTCAAAAATTATAACTTAAAATCATAAAATTTTAATTATTTAAAATATTTTTTAAGAATAGGGTCAAGATTAATGATATATTAAACAGATAACTTTCAATTTAAAATTAATAAAAAAATCAACTCTAAGTCCCAAGTCTGTATATCTTGGTGCATGTGCCGCCGTACCAAGGGGGTTAGCGGTGACTATCCCCCTTTACCTTGGAAAAATCCACCAAATTTTAAAACAAAAATTCAAAGTTTCCGTTTTTGTCTTTGATCTGCTCCCCATGATTTCTAGTATATGAGAAAATGATTATGGGATAATATTTTATTATATAATTTTTTTATTTAATTTATATATTATTTAATAATTAAATTTTTATTAAATTTAAAATATTATATATTTATTTAATAACCTATAAAAATTATAAATAAAAATTACAAAAATAAATTATTTCCATATCATTACTCTTCCTTTATATTTTAAGATTTAAGCTCTAAAAGAAATCTTTTAATTTCAACTGGTGTATTTATCTTATTCAATTTGGGCTTCATTGGCATAAGGGTAATTTTATTAGGATGGTGTTTACCAGAAGAATAATTAGGAAAATATTATACAAAAAGTGTATAACTTTTGTAATAAAAATTTATTAAACTTTTGTTAGTATTTTTAATTTTTTGTGTTTAATAAGATATTAATATTGAAAAAATTAAGTAAAAATAATCAAGTGAATTGCAACACATAAGAACATAGGTAGAGATAACTTTTTCCTAACTCTTATATTAATTGATTGATTTTATTTAAGACTTATATATGAATTAGGAGTTATTTAGTATTGCTATTTGAAATTAGAGGTTAATCATTTCATTTCATTTAATGATTAATAATTATTATTAATAATTTAAATATTTTTATTTATTAAATTAAATAAAATTATTAATCATTAATTTTAAATCATTACACCAAACAACTTCTTAATACATATTTGCTAATTTAATACTGTAACCATAAACTTATAATTATTTTCGAAATAATAACTTGTAAGCTAATCATTTTCAAAAGTATCATATATGTGAAAAGGAAATACCAATGTTAGGACAAGGTAAAAAAAACAGAAGGTCAACCTCGGTATTGATTTCAATAAATGAAAATGGCAGCAAATCTGGACAAATCAATAAGCCTGATCTAGAGTAATTTGAAAGTGTGATGTTATTGGAATAATTTTTTTATTTTTTTTATATATTATTAAATAAATAAATATATTTAATATTATATGTTTTATATAAATTAAAAAAATTAATTATTTTAATAACATATCAAATTATATAAAAAAATAAAATAATTATTTTAATAGCATTTCCCAATTCAAAATTCCACCGAAAAACCAAATCAATCTCTGGGATGCATCCCTGAACTTTTGTCAATGGTGGAGAAGAAATTATACTCCCCTCATTAACCTCCTCTAAAACGTGCCCTAAATCAGCAACAGTACAGTAATTCACTTCATCACCCCCTACATATTAAAAGTAAAAAAAAAAAAAAGAAAGAAAGAAAGAAAAGAAAAGTGTTCTTCGACCAACCGCTAAAGCTTGTTATAAATTCGTGACCAACCGTTGCTATTGCCTTTCCTACGGACGCCTCCAACCCCATATTTTTTCTCTGCATTTCTTTCTTCTACCCCAAACAATCAAACGGTCAGATCTCCGACGAATACAAAGCGTCGGAACAAAGAGACGTCGGAACAAAGAGGTGGGGTCGAGTCGGGTCGGTTATTTTCGCTCTCACAAACAGTCCTCGTTGTTCCCTTGACTCGTTGTAAGTTCTTACGCCTTTGTTTTTTCTTGATTTTTCTGCAAATCATTGATTTATCTTCAGTTGGGAAGTCCTCTTTTCATGGTCATTTTCCTGGTTATAAATCTTACACAATAATTAGAAATCTCATTGACCTCTCCTCCTCCAAAAACCACACGTTCTGCCTTCCCCAATCCCTCTGTTTCGCTTCCTGCTCCCTTCCTCGAAACTCTGTTTTGTCTATTTTCTCTAACTCCCTTCAAATCTACATCACGCATTTGGATCACGACCATATCGTAGAGTTCTTCACTTGTTTTTTTCACTAATCATCCGTAATCCCACGTCAGTCAGATTTTCCAAGACCGTCCACCCTTGACATTCAACCATGATTGGGTATGGCTCCATCCCCCTCTACCTCTCTCCAATTTCCACCCTGTCTTGCTCTGTAAACAAATCTGCATTCATCATCCACAAAAAACTAAGGATCACCTACTCTTCTCTTTCTTCTCGATCCTTCATTTTATATTGAATCTATTTTCTTTTTTCCTTTTCCGTCCACGCTCCTCCGTTGGAAGCAGTCTCCATTTCCCCTGCAACTGGGTCTTTTATATTACTCCAGATAAGAACCATTTCAACTTCAGGCCTACTTGTTTCCTGATTAGTCACCAGGTTTTGTTTTTCTCGAATTTTTCTCTATTTAATTCCAATTCTATTATTTTTTTTCCACAAAAAGATATTGCATATAAAACGGATAACTGAAACTATAATATAATCGCCCACTTGTTTTGATTTTGATTTCATTTTAAATTTCCTCTGATTCAGAAGTTAAAAAGCGATGAAAACAGAGATGAAGTCCTCCAAGGAACGTACTTTTCCATCCTCTCCGGTTTTACCGTTGTCCATCTTCCGTTCTACAGTGCTGAAAATGAGTTCTTTCCGGGCACAGCGTTCTTGGTCGAGAACGGTCGTGAGGAAATGGTTGAATATACAGAGCCGAGCCGACGAGTTTAACTCCGATTACGCGAGCAAAGGTAAAACCCATCTCGTTTCGGATGTTCTATATCCAATCGGAATTGAAATTCGGGGTTTTGTTTCGGATTCAGAGCAGTTATTGCTTTTTGCAGGAAGCGAAACAGGGAGACCGAAGACTTGTGCCGACGACGATTATTTTGTTTACGTACCGGAAGATTTCTCAGGTATTACTTTACTGCGACGCTGTAACGATACTCTCCTGCACTATAATTCAATCATAAGATTTTGACGGCTGTGTTTAATATGATTGGACATCTATTTACTGGGACCTGTCTTCAGCTTTCTATTAGTCTGCCACGGGGACAGAGGACATCGGGGGCGTACGATTTGGAATTATGATTTTGCTAACATGCCTCTAGCTAATTCGGATTTTCTTTTTACGAAAAAAAAAAATTGTAGAACAGTTCATAATATAGTAAATTGTGTCTTACACTCTAAAAAAAAAAATTTGTCTTTAATAATTTTTATGTTATTATTTAATATAATTTAAATATAAAACAAAATTTTTTTCTTTCTAAAAAGATAAAAATTATTTATAATTGATGTAATATAAATCATTAAACAGAGCTAAATTTGGTAATTTGAGCGTCGGTGTTTGAGTTTTAGCGGCTGATGGTATAACTGACGGCTTTTTCCTTTGTCTAGAAGCTTGGTTGGTGGGAGCGACTAATGGGCTTAAACAGCCAATTGTTACACCGGAGGCGCCATTGGCGGCGACGGACGGACTCAACCTCAGGTGAGGATATAATATAATAATAATCTCTTCTTGTTTTGGCTGCTTGTTCTGTATAGAGACAATAATACCCTTGTTTTTATCTTTATTTTTCTTTGGAATGATGCTGTCAATAATTAGATTATGTTTTGTACATTTTTTTTCGTTAAATTAACTTGTTAAAGATAGTACTAGTATTGTGCTAATTGTGGTTGTCTTTTGGAGTTTATAGGATGTTTGTGGGGACATGGAATGTCGGGGGGAAGTCGCCTCAGGAGGGATTGAACTTGAGAGATTGGCTGAAGTTACCAGCACCTGCTGACATCTACGTTCTTGGGTATTGCTTCTCCCTCTATTACCACACACTGATATTCATTGCTAATTGTTATCTATATAAAAAAATATAAAAATTGATATTAATTTTAATGTAATTATTAAATAAATAAATTTAATTAAATAATTAATAAATTAATAAATTAATTTTTATTTTTTAATGTAAATTTATGAAAAAATAAATTTATTACACTCTCAAAAAAATACATGTTAAAAAAATTTTATGTTAATTGAGATAATCTTATTACTTGTATTATTAATTTGGGATCCAATTTTATTTATTTATTTATTTTTTTGTGTAAGTAAAACTTTTTGAGGGATAGTTGAACATAGGAGAATTGAACCAAGGACAAACTTAGTTATACAAAAAATTCAGAAACCATTAAAAACAATTTTTTTAATAATTTGCTCTCCAAAAGATTCCCTTTTAGTTAATTGGCCCCCAATAAGGTTTTGATCCCTGTTAAATTTAAGTAAGCTCCATCTGGGTTATGGGCGGTGGCCCTTATCACAAAGAGTGCGTAGGTGCATTTAAATTTCAAGTTTATAATACCTTGTCATTCAAGTTTATTTATTTATTTTTTTAACACAATAGAGCCGTACTTTATTAAATGACTTAATTTTACCAACCTCCAAAGTTATCCAATATATATATATTAAAAAATTTATAGGGTGAATTGTATTGTTAAAATATAATTTATCTTATAAATTTATTAAAATATTATTAATAAAATTATTTTTATATTATTTTATTAAAACTATTTTAATAAATTTATAATACATATTACGCTTTTAATATATAAGTTTTCATCTAAAATATTAATCTTAAAAAAATTTTTTAAAAAAGGGTATCTATTTGTATTTGGGTTTTTATTCCTGACGGTGAAATTATCGTGTGTGTTAGGTTTCAGGAAATCGTCCCCTTAAATGCGGGGAACGTGCTCGGGCCAGAGGACGAAGGTCCAGCTGCCAAGTGGCTCTCCCTTATACGTCAAGCTTTGAACAGCAACGACAATGACTACCACCTTTCTCAAAATTACACCTTTACCACTCAACGGAAAAATCCATCCTCGCCGTCGCAGCTTAACCAGCAAGCAACCGTGAAAAACAGGCTCAGCTTCTCCGACTTACTCTCACTGGAAGACGAGCTTGGCAAAGAGGATTTCGAAAAGTTGCTGAATTTGAATCCGAATTCCGGCGAAGAACAACCCTCACCCAGCCCACATGGTCCCTCTGACAGCCCTTCTCGGAGGCGGTTTTGCCTGGCTGCGAGCAAGCAGATGGTTGGCGTTTTCCTCTGCGTGTGGGTTCGTGCTGATCTTCGCAAACATATAAGCAATTTGAAGGTCTCCTGCGTTGGCCGTGGCATCATGGGATACCTTGGAAACAAAGTCAGCTATACATAGTATCTCAATTCCTTTTATCATAGTTTGATGTTAATCATATCAAACCCAACGTTCTAATCTCACAAGATTATCTTCGGATTGCAGGGTTCAATATCCATTAGTATGACATTGTATCAAACAACATTCTGCCTAGTTTGTACACACTTGACTTCGGGGCAGAAAGAAGGAGATGAGGTTAGGAGGAATTCTGATGTTGTTGAAATATTAAAGAGAACAAGATTTTGCCATTCTTTCAAAGATCTTAGGCAACCTCTTCCTCCCGCAGGCATTTTGGGGCATGAGTAAGCTTCTTCCCCTACATATTTGTCAACTCTAAGTTGTATACATTGGTTCTTTGTCCATCACTTCCTCTAATATTTTTTCTTATTGTCCTACGTTATTTGATTCAGCAAGATTATTTGGCTTGGAGATTTGAATTATCGGCTGGTTGGTACTAGTCGTGACACACACGAGTTACTGAACAGAAATGATTGGCAGGCACTTCTAGAGAAGGATCAGGTAAGATGGTATCCCATTGTGTGTGTGTGTGGTTTAATAGTTTCATGGTGTAATGTGCGTTTTTCTTGTTCATTTTGGCAGCTAAGGATGGAACAGAAAGCTGGTAGGGTATTCCGAGGGTGGGAAGAAGGCATGATACATTTTGCCCCAACTTACAAATACCACACCAATTCTGACCATTATGTCGTCCAAACATCTAAATCAAAAGAGAAACAACGTACTCCTGCTTGGTAAGACTTCCAAACTTATGTTCCTTTTCACGTTCAATTTTTCTAGGAATTAAGCTTCATGAGATGAATTAAATTAATACCAACTTGTGCTTTTATTGAGGTTGCTTGATCTAAACTAAGAAGCAAGTAGTTGCCTTCATCATTTCCCTCATACGCATGAATATATATTTATATAACTTGTGATTATTGATTGGTACTACAGTTGCCTTTTCGATCCTTTTTTATATCACAATCTTTTTTATGAATTTTCTTCCCCATTTATTGTACTCCATGCTTATCCACTGAAGAAATCAGCCTGAGCTATGCTTTTGCAGGATTATATTAATTAAGTCGTCCTCACTACTGCTTAATATTGTTTTTCTTTTGTACTTTAACGCTGTTATGCCGTATGCGGGGAACCCTCCTTATTAGCTTGTGAATTGTTTTTTGACTAGTTGCTGATGACAGTATGACATTACATTTTTTTAGCTTCAAATGGTTCTTAAATATCAAAGTTTCTATTTTTCTATTGCACTGATTGGTGTATGGAGCATATGAATCCCATATTTAAGTTACATGGATTAGTTAAGAGGTATCTTTCTATTTATAAAGTAGTGCAACCATGTTAACTGCAACCACTGACCGTGTCTTATTAACGTTTAACATATCCATTTCACTTATCAGTCATAACCAGCTGACGTAGTGTTTCTTGATGTTAATCATTAATTTAATCCCAACTTGCATTTATCATTTTTTAATTAGTTTTTGGACACCATTTCAGGTGTGATAGGATACTGTGGAAAGGTGAAGGAATGAAACAGATGTGGTATACAAGGGGAGAGTCTAGATTCTCAGACCACAGGCCGGTTTATTCCTTATTTTCAGTCCAAGTCAATTCAGCAAAGAACATCCCAACTGCCAGATCCTGCTTGTCAAAACTTCCTACAAGCACCACCCTATCCTCCACGAACCTAGCCAAGGTCCAAGCAGAGGAGCTCTTGCATCTTCACAGGACACAAAGCTGCATAGAAACCAACCCCAGATTTTGTTAACACTCTTTACATATTCATGTATAGAAAGCAACCTGTCTCTACTGAGGTAACACACCTCCTGCCTAATGTGGCCGACCAAAGGCTATATTTCTCCAACACCTGCAGGGTCTCTGGCATATTTATCAATCTGAGACCACATGCAATGCAGGTGATTATGTACATTAAGTGAAGAAGGCGATTAGCTAAGGCAATTGATCGCTGTTTACCGTGTTGTCAATATGATGGAAAAATGCATGTGAGGTTTGGCGTGCATCTTCTGTTGCACGCCTGATTTTTTATACCAGGATGGTCCATCATGGGGATGCTGTAAATATTTATATGACTCTCAGGAGCATGATGATTGTATGGATGGGTTGGTGAAGCAGTGAATGGGGAAGGTTGCCAGTTTCTGAGTATTCCATTTTTCCATGTCAATATGCCATGAACATTTACGGTTTTTTGGAGGCTCCCAAAATCAGATCAAGTGTCTCAAACTCTCGACTCTCGGGTTCTGGTTAAATTGGAACATATAAGGTGAATTCAGCTTTTTGCAGAGAAGGGTTTCTTTTTTATTTCAAAATTTTTATGCCCATGGAGGGTAGAGAGATTTGATTAAAATGGAAATGTATGATTCATGGAAAAAAAAAAAATTGTCTCAGTTCTTAGCTGAAGCTTGTCAATGGTATTTCAATATATAGTTTGAAAAGTATTATAATGTAACATAAGTATAATTACGAGAAAATAATCAATGTACAACAATTTTTTTATATGGTGGTCTGTACACTATAGTGTAATGTTTTATAATTTATTTCATTTTTATTTGGCCTGATGGTGAATTTGTATATAACTACCTAATTAATGTCGTTTTATACATATAAAAAAAAAAATTTGTATTCATAACATTGATTTCATTTAGGGATTCATGTTTTATTAGTCATAATTTTGTTAGGCTTAGGTGCTTTTCTTCTAGTATTCAAGGCTCTTTATTTTGGGGTGCATATGATACCTAGGCTAGAGGGGGGAGATGTAAGAAAAATTACCAACTTGACTCTTAGTCCAAGTGTTATATTTGGTTATTTACTAAAATCTCTTTTTGGAGAAGGATGGATTGTGAGTATTGACGATTTAGAAGATATAATTAATTAGGGGCATGTATGGTTAGGTTTCATTTGTATTTTTGGTGGAATCTGGCATATCTTAATCAAACCTTCTGCTTGGGCTCAATATGCATTTGTGTGGTCAGGGAAGGCTTGCTTATCTTATAGTTTAGGCGCCTTATCTGTTTGTGATTTCATTGCATGTTACTTTATTCAGTTCAATAATATGGCTTATCCTAGTGAGTTTTATGGACCACTAGCCAGAAACTTCTCAAGCTCAAGCATTTACTTTTTCTAGTTAGAGACCAATGTCTTGGGGCTAACATGGGATCCACTCAAGCACCCACAATTTTAGGTAAATATCTAATGCGTTCCTCGACGAGAGAAGTCATTTTTGGGGGAGAAACTATACCCTTTTGGGATTTGCATTCTCCTTGGTTAGAACCCTTGAGTGGTCCAAATGGTTTGGACTTGAGTAAGTTGAAAAAAGATATACACCCTTGGCAAGAATTACGTTTAGCGAAATATATGACTCACGCTCCTTTAGGTCCTTCAAATTTTGTAGGTGGTGTAGCTGTTGAGATCAATGCAGTTAATTACGTCTCTCCGATAAGTTGGTTAGCTACCTCTCACTTTGTTTTAGGATTCTTCTTTTATTCCTAGGCCATTTATGGCACGCGAAAAGAGCTCGTGCAATCGCAATGAGATTTAAAAAGGGAATTGATCATAATCTTGAACGTATTCTTTTCATGACTCCTCTTAACTAAGATGGGAGATCAAATGCTTTACGTCGGAATCAGTTTGATTCCAACATACATATTGAGGGAATCAAGTCATATTTAAAAAGTATTTTGCTTTTCTTTCTTTTCAACTCATTTTTTTCTATCTAATACATTTTTTTTTTTTTTGGGCTTGGCTATTCCACCCAACCGAGCTTTTTATTCTTATACATGTTAAGAGTCTTCTTAACTTGAAGTTGGAAAAAACAAAAACTAATAAAGAAAGAAATCTCTTCATCCAATACGAGGAGAGAGAGGGCTTTGAACCCTTAAAAGTATAATTTAAGTACTGAAATTAATTAAACTACTATTAATAAAAACATAAAAAGTAATTTCATTAAAATATTTTATTAAATTTGTAAGTTGAGCTATTGAAATTAATTAAATTATTATTAATAAAAACATAAAAAATAATTATATTAAAGATATTTTACAAAATTTATCAATTAAATTGTACTTTTAATATACAATCTAACCTATTAAAATTTTCTTTTTAAATTTTAAAGGCCTTGTTTTGGTTTAGATTTAAGTAATCAGTTGTTTTTTTATTTTTTATTTTCCTTTTTTAAATGGATGAATATGGCTGAATGGAACTAAACATGGGCCTTTTCTTCATGAACTGATGAATAGGTTCGGGCCTTCCATTAATGCTTTCAGTCTTCCAAAGTCCAAAAAGAGATGGGTCATGGGCTAGATTAAGTAGCCCATTCCCAGATAGGGCCGGAAGCGGATTACCGAAGTCAAAGTAACTCAAAGTCGGAGGGATTTTTAAACTGGCGCCAAACACCGAATAATAGATCAGATCCAAGACAAAACCTATTCCACGTGTACGGTCAGGATAATGATCTCCACGATCTCATCGTGCAGGGCATCACCTCATATCACATCCTCCAACAAAAGACCCTAAAATAGGCCCAAAGGGAAGCAAAATCTCACTATCTTCCTAGATCTCACCACGAATTTCGTTCGTTGCCGGTACAATCGACGGCCTCTTTTCCGGTCACTCGCCGCCGGAAACTTCTTCCGTGCTCGACAACTGATCTCGAAGTCTTAAGTAGATTATTGTCCTCGATTGCAGGTATGTGCGAAACTCCTTTTCGTTAACACTCTGGTACGCTAGGGTTAGGATCTCGAGCTTGTTTTCTCAGTTCTCTTGTGTGACTGTTTGGTTAGGGAGGAAATGAAGGAAAGCTGTGGGGAGAGGGTTAAAGAAAGCAGAGTTCTTTACTGTTTTGTTTTTATAACAATAAATGTTGATAGCAACAAGTGCTGTAAGTGCGTGGGGCTTTGGTTGAGTGGAGTTATTGGAGTTGAAGTTTTTAGTTTCCTGCATTTTCTCAGCTTGACGGGTACTATATGGGAAATTATTATTGTTTTGCTTTCGAATTTCGCCTGATTTAATGCTTGCATTTGGCAGATAATATTTAGCTAGTGTGGAGTTTCTGGTTTTGATTTATTTACTTCGACCAGATACTGAATATTTGCTGTTTAATGGTAAAGTTCTATTCTTGATCTTCAAGAATCATCAGGATATTTGCAATACCCAAGTGTCGCTTTCACAAATGCAAGTATATCGGTTGGACTAAGATAGCAAAGTGCAAGAACAGATTTTGAGCGCAAAACTGAAGGATAGCAAGACAAAAATGGTAACTCTTGCAATTTCTAAGTGAATTTTTTCAAGCCTTGGATTGGATATGTTTAAACTTTATGCACTGTAAGAAACATATGTTACAGCATTTTACTATCTTTTCCTCTATGAATAGAAGATGCTCAGACTAGAGTTTATTGATGTTTTTCTAATTTCTGGCTGCTTAATTGATGGTGATACTGATAGTTTGTTCATCATAGGCAAGTTGAGAATTAAAAGTTGTATAGACTTTGCTGGTTTATATTGTGCTGGGAAAATTGTGTATTTGATTAAGAGAAAAAAAAAAAATCTTTTAAAGATTGATTTAGATTGCAAGTGGTATCACATGTAGTTGCTTTGTTGCGTTGAGGTTAAATTGAATCTTTTTAGCCTGCTGGTGGTGGATTATGTTGTTTTTGGTGCTTCTTCTTGACTTGTAATTAAGCAGTTTAGAAGTCAGAAGTACTTTGTAACTACATATATTTTAGAGTGAATTAACGAAAAGGAGCAAACTTGAGGTGATGCTGGTTAAATCTTCAATTCATTACGGAAAACCTTTGGTTTTTTTGTTGTTGTATTAGCCTTATGGTAATGTCTTGTGTCTTATTAGTTATTAGTTATATCTTACACATGTCAGTCTTTCCAGAATCAGGGTTTTTGGATGGCCAAGGGTGCTGGGTGTTTAAATGATGGTGAGATGTCTTATGATAATTCTTCTAGAGTTGAGCCTAAGCGTTCTCATCAGTGGTTTATGGATGGTCCTGATACAGAGCACTTTCCAAACAAGAAGCAGACAGTTAATGCAGTTCCAGCAACCAACTTATTTTCAGGATTGTTAAATTCAAATGTTTCTCCATGGGGGAATACATCCAGTTTTCACTCGATATCTGGCCATTTTGGTGAACGGGTATTTGATCCTGAAACTGCTAGAACTGTCAATTTTGATGATCATAGCATCCCATCAGTTAATTCAGAGAAAGTTGATATGGCAAGAAAGGCTAATGAAGATCTGTTTGGGAATGATTCTTCTTTTGGTTTATCAATGTCTCACACTTATGAAGACTTTAGATCTGGACTAAACTATGGAGGCATTAGAAAAGTAAAAGTCAGTGAGGTCAAGGACTCTGAGAATGTTATGCCTGTACCGATTGGCCATGCCTATGATAGGGTTGATGCTAACTCACTGCCTGCTGGTCATGCATATAAGGTGGAAGACAGGTCTGTACCCATTGGTCTTGCCTATAACAAAGGAAATGAGAATATCATGTCTATCGGTGATACCTATGACAGGGAGCATAATGTCTTCATATCAATGGGACAATCATATAACAAAGGAGAAGAGAGCGTTACACTTAGTGAAACATATAAAGATGGTAGCAATGCCATGGCTATTGGTAACACCTTTGATAAGACTGACAACAATTTCATCACTATGGGTCAGACCTATAACAGAGCAGATGAAAACTCAATATCGATGTGTCATACTTTCAGTAAGGTAGATGATGGTACCATATCTCTGGGCCATACCTATGACAAGAGTGAGAACCATACTTTGTCAATTGGGCAGTCTTTTACCAAGGGGGAGAGTACCATAATATCATTTGGTGGCTATGATGATGATGATGCAAGTCCAGGAAGGCTCATATCCAACTACGATCTGTTGGTAAGTCAGGCTTCTATCCAAAGATCAGAAGCACTGAATGACAAAGATATTAAATCAAATGCTGATGCACTTGTCTCCAGTGGTATTGTAAGTGCTTCTGGGGCTGAGGTTTCTCGGAAGAAAGATGATCCAAAGACATCTAAAAAGGTTCAGCAAAACAACTTCCCTTCAAATGTCAGAAGTTTGCTATCAACTGGTATGCTGGATGGTGTTCCGGTAAAATATATTGCCTGGTCGCAGGAGGTAAATGTCAGTTCATCTGTTCTTCATTTAGTTGACCTTACTGCCTTGTGACATGTCTGCTACTTCTTATGCATTTTAGAAGGAGCTGCGTGGTGTCATAAAAGGTTCTGGATATCAATGTGGTTGTCAGTCATGCAATTTCTCTAAGGTAATGGTTCTTTTTTGTTAGTATAACACTGCTATTATTAAGGTAGTGCTTGACCAAATTATTAGTAAATAGCCCAGCTAACTGATTGGTGGTTTTGTTGTTAGGTAATCAATGCATATGAATTTGAACGACATGCTGGTTGCAAAACAAAACACCCCAATAATCACATCTACTTTGAGAATGGAAAGACAATATATGGAATTGTCCAGGAGCTTAGGAGCACACCTCAGAATATGTTGTTTGACATTATTCAGACTTGTACTGGCTCACCTATTAATCAGAAGTCATTCAGGCTGTGGAAAGGTAATGTGAATTCCTGTATGCATTTGGATGTTTCTATGTTATTCCTGTCCCATTGATGCAGATAAAGATCATCTTCTTCCAGCAGTATTGCACTGATAGAGGTTGTTTTTTGTATTCATGTTTTCCTTGTCCTTTTTCAGAATCCTTTTTAGCTGCAACTCGTGAACTTCAGCGTATATATGGAAATGATGATGGAAAGCAATTGTCGTAAGGACTTCTTGTTCCTTTTGCAAGCTAGGGTCTTCTTTATTTTGTGCATACTGCATAGAGATATCTTTCTATCAAGACGTTGTACTCGTCAATGGTGGTTCCACCGCTAACTAAAGGGCTTTGGGTTTTTTTGCCAATTTGACTGCTAGGGATCATTATGAATCCATGAGATCACATCTACCCACAGAATGGAACCTTGTTCTGTTGTCTTTTGGCTTGCAGTTCATAGCTTAACTGAAGGGAAAAGTAATCATGTCACCCATTGCGATCTCACTTTTTTAATTTTATTATCACTTGTGTGCTTGCAAGGAAAGTCTTCGCCGAACTATTGTCATTTTTCTGATCTGTTTTATTCTTTTTCACTTTTTTCTTTTTTTGGGCAATAAGCTACAATCACTGTATTTATAGTGTTAAGCCACAAGGCATCCACAAAGAAAGGAAAATTTTGTGACAGATGCTCGTAAAAGGAGGTGGATAATCCACAAATCCATTTTCCTCTGTAGTCAAACACACTTGCAAAAAGGAACAATAATGGCACACTTTCCTCTGTGTAGCAATAGAAAACACTTGGCAAAAAGAAACGAGAAGAAACAATAATGGCACACTTTCCTTTGTGTAGTCATAGAAAACACTTCCAAAAAGGAACAGTAATGGCACACTAAAAAGACTAACAAATTTGTCACAGCTACCTACAATCCATATGAAAAATATAAATAGCTTTTACATGTCATTAAATTAATAAATTTATTTAATATTATAGGTTTTAAATGAATAAAAAAAATTAATTATTTAAATGATACGTAATATTGTATTAAAAAGTGGTATAAAAAGATTATCTTAAAATTATTTTTCAAAATGTATTATTTCCAGCTATAAGAACCTCTGCTCTTCTCGTCAATAATAAGTCTCGCTTTATGCAATTTTAATAGTCATAATTAGATTTTTTTTAAAATTTTTTAAGATAAAAATTTAACATACAAGAAATAATTAAATTTT